GCATGTAGTAAAATAAGCATCATTTTTTATATAAAATTTATCATGATATCTTAATAAATTATTTTCCTCTAAATAATCGGAAAATAAATTTTAATTTATTTATTTTTGGATAAATATCATATAGCATTTAACCGACTTTTCATGCCTTTCATTCATCCCTATCAAATTTCAATAATGGAATTGAGTAATTTAGTAAGAAGAGAATGCTTATGTAGACCCAATAATAGAAAGTAAATAAAAGGAAATATAAGAGCAAAAATATATTAAATAATGAGAATATATTACAATAATAAATTTAATATATTTTTAAAATAATATAAAAGGAAAAAATAATTGGTAATAATTTTAATGAATTTTTATATAAATTATTTATTTTTTTTAGTATTATCATAAATATTATATATTTATTGAGATATCATGACATTTTTATATACTATTAAAATTTCATAAAATTTTGATAACCCTTAGTAAATATATCAATTTAATTAGTGTATATTATATGCACAAAATGTTTTATTGATTAAATCATAATATTTTTCAAAATATCCTTAATACTCTTATTCACTTATTTAATACTAAATATTAGTTTCTTCAATAAAACTTACAATCCTAACACACCTATAATTTCTAGTATGGATTACAATAATGCCCCAAAAATGTCTTGAAGTTAAACAAGCTTCTTCATAATTTTTTTCACTTTCATAAGAATTAAACATTAGATTATTAATAAATTGTATAATTAAATGATTTTTTAATTGATGTATCACAAAAAAAATCATCTAATAATGTATGGATCTTGATGTAAGCACCTGAATTAAGATTTTGGAGTTGATTTTATAACCATTTTAAGGGTGATTAGCTTAAATTATCATAAAATTAATCACTTCAAGCATAGTTAAAACACTATGATTTTATTTATGGCCATACAATTTTTAAATCTTATATGCTTAAAAAAAAAACCTCGATAAAAAGAGTAAAAGTCTAATGTTGCTAAAATTTTATTTCATTAAGGGGTTTAAAATTTTAAAAATGAAATGTGAGCAATGAAATCAATATTGACCATCCAATTGACTTTTTAGATATTTTGGCTAAAATAATTGAAACTATGCTCTAAAAAAATTAAACATGGGCCATCATTTAATAGATGAAGAGGATCATAACCGCTATTTAGAGTTGATGACAACACTACACAATAATCAACATTAATGGTCCCTATTGATGATTTCCATTATCTAACTATCTTCATTCAAGTAGTATCACCTTCCATCATTGCTCAATTATTATTGCTTAGTCGTCATCATGTGGCCACTATCCCGAAGCATCATCACATGATAACTATGACATAATCACTATCACTCAATTATCATTATCATCCCCTTGCTATCATTCCCTCGTCATCATGCCAAAAATAAATTTGCACTACTATAAGATATTTTTGTACCACAATCATACTTGAACATCTTGATTTTCATAATTAAGTTGTTAGGACCTACTCTTCATAATTAATAACAGTTTGTCATATTCTGCACTTCATGAGACCGTTCATACAAGGTTTTATTATGATTATATGAGTTTATATGACAATCATTTCCAAGTAAGACTATAGGACCAGTCGTATTGGGCTCGTTTTATCCTTTATATAGTTGATCAATATGTTCCTTGTTCACAACATTTCTCTCTCTTTTGATAGCATAAATCCTCACCTCTTAGGTTTTCACACGATCATATATCATGTGATATAAGTCTTAATATTCTAATAAAATGCGGAGTAAAATTTTCAAATAAATCAATATGAAAATCAATAAAGTCAAATGATCTCAATAGGATAGTTAATATGTCACTAAGTTGTTCAATATCTTTAACATCTCCTACTTTTACCTCCTTTAGATTTCATGAATAAATTGTTCTCTTTTTGAGCCTTCTCATTTGATACTCCAAATCATCAATCGTGGAAATTTTAACTTATAAATTTCTTGAATACAAAAATCATAGTCTTAGTCAAGAGTTTTCTGAAAGAACAGTATTGCTTAATATATAATTAACTTTAAGAGTTTGCACTTATATAAAATTAGAAACCCAGATTAATCTAAACTCTTTATAATCTTCAACTAAAGTAGAGGAAAGATTTATTGGTTAAAATGCAGACCATGCAAATATCCAAAACAACTTTATTTAAATAATTGAACCCATTGTAAAGTGATTTTTTCTATCTTTCAAGATACCATATTTCTTTTGATATCGTGCTTGATTATTTAAATAATTTTTCAAGATCAAATTTAATGAAATAACCCTTAAACCAAATCAACCTAAACTAATCCACGCATGTTAAACTCTCATACATGAAGCAATAAATATCTTTATAAGAATAAATATTCTAATTTTTTCAAAGGCATGTAATACCATTACTAATATGGGTGCTAAATAGCCTGAATACACTGAATAGGACCATAAATGGTGATCTCAGCTTCTTTAAGAGTGTTCGTTATCACTCAATCCCGAAGATATTCGAATCCACTTTTCCCTAAACTCTTATATTTTAGAGCAGGCAAAATCTCCATATACTTAATTTTTATAATCAGAAATCATAAAAATTTATAAAAATATGTTTAGGGATCATATTATTCATAATTTCCATGTGGATATTTAAAATTTCTTTTTTTTTATTTTAAAATATGGAACAAAATTAAAAATATTTACCAATTCCCTATCCAACAAGACAAAAGTTTTCCTATATATATATATATATATATATATTTGTGCAACCTTTGGTTACATGTAAGATAGAGCCTAGTTAGCCAAGTTTCTCCCATCATCATTGAAATGTCTACAAACTCCACATGACTTTTGAACATTTTATTTTAAAATCATATTCATTTATAATAGCTAAAGGTATGGGCACCACTAAACCCTTATTGCATGTGCTCCGCAGGCATAACATAATCGAGCACGCTTGCTTCGTCATCTTCTCGGTCTCTGTCACCGGCGGCCCCCAGGGTCGCCGCCGTCACCCACTCTTTCTTCTCCTCACCGTCTTCCTTCTCATCTAACCTGAACAATCTCAGCGTTAATTTGGTGCTTATGCTTGAGGTACGCCGGCAGTGAGTCCACGTCCATTGTTCCTGTTACACTCGCCAATTCCGCATCGGCATCCACGCTCACCTGATAAACCCCTGGGCATAAATGCAATTATAGAAACATCAGGGATAATATTACATTTACATGCATACCACACTAACATGTAAATAAATAAGTATATATTGGGTGGTCTATATGTAAATAATTAGGGGTTTAGATACTTTAACATGTGATATTTGTTGTGTTAAATAAATATTGCAATTAAAATTTTCAAATAAAATTAAGAAAAAATAAATTAAATAAATTAAAATAATGACCTTTATATTGTCGAAGAGCTTGCTTGACTCGTTGAGCACAGCCATAGCAGTCCATAGTAGTAATCTTGAGCACCGCAGTTGAAGCCGCAAACTAACATAATATTAAGAAAATAAATAAATAAATAAATAATAGTAAGATATACATGCATAACATACAATTTTTATATATTTATTTTTTTATTTAGCATTTAAACTTAAGTTCTTACATATATACCTTACAATTGCATAAAAATGAGTATTTTGCCATTTAAAAGTAAAAATTCTTATATATAAAAATGATATCAATTTTTTTACGATCACCGTACTTTAGGATGTCACGCTAAAATACATAGCTTCCCAAAACTATCACAAATTTCTAAAAAACAGTAAGAAAGTAGTTTCCCGGTCAGAAATACAGTGACAACCTAAAACACAAAGCATACAGAAAACTATCACAAATTGATCATAAAACTACTAACCGACCTCTTTTCTATTCGAACTGCTGGCCCCCGTTCTCTTCGGCGCACGTCCCGACGAGGCGATCTCAACCAACTTATGAGTCTTGGCCATCACATGATTTCGAAGCTCTTGGGGATCCACTTTCCCCAAAACATGCAATTCGTTCCTCTCTTTCTCGACCTTCACTCCCTCCAATCCTAAAATTCAAATAAAAATAATAAATTTAATTAAAAATTGACATTTTTTTTACATTTAACATCTAAATCTTATTTATTTGCATTCATAACACGTACATCTTTGATATCACAATTTTAAAAATATAAATATTTATATTTATTTTATATATATATATGAATAAGAATGCGATAAATTATATAAATACCCGGGAATCCTTTCACTGAATGCTTGATCCCTCTAGCGCAGCCCTCACAGTGCATCTCGACGTTCAAGACGACTAATAGCGACGACCCTCGTCTCCTCTTCACAGTAAAATCAGTAAATAATCAGTACTAAATTGCAAAAAATGAAATTAATACAAATTAATCTGAAATTAAATCCAGATGCTAGTTTGTTCATCATTCTCACTTACGTCTGACATGGTTTGCAGTGCGAGTTCTGAACCTAGAAAGGGGGGGAGTATGTATATACATATATAGATGCGAGGCAAAGGAGAGAGATGCCATGTGGCGCATTGTTAAGAGCGGTGGATTAAGCGGGTGAGAATTTTTAATTCTCACGTTCCAACATGCATGTGTGCTTCTATGCATGCATGCTTGCGCGCGCGTGCGTATAATTAATTTGATCGGCCACCATTAATGCTCTTTCGATCCGATAAAAGATCGGCTGTTATAACAAGTAATTGGTTCTAATGTTCAACAACCTACACATATCTTATACACTTCAGAACATTTCGTTGATCAGGTGAGTCAATCTTCGGATGAGGAATGACAGGTCTACACGAGGAGAAAGAAGAAAAACGGAGGACGACTCGAGCTTTGGAATTTATTGGATAATACATTGGTTACTACTGGTAATGACACTCATCTTACTAATTTATTAGCTGGCTCCTTCCCTAGAGCTAGAGGCAGAGGCAAGACAAAATTAGGTCGCTCTCCAGCTACCTGATACTCCTTATTTGACACTTTCTGATTTTTTTTTTAGGTTTCTTATGTATTTTATTGCATTTTCTCTTTTTTGGAACAATTTGATATGGTGGTTATCATGTGGGCAGAGTGTCATATTAAGGACCTCCCACAAAATCTATTTATACCCTACTTTTTATTTAATATATTAGCCATTATGTTTTCTCATATATATATATATATATATATATCATTGAATATATTTTAAGATGAAAGCAATACAAGTTCTTCATTTAAGGCATTAATCTTGAAGTGCCACAAATAATTTTTAATTTCTATTTTAACCATATATATTTATATTTCCTAATTATAGGCATTAGATAGTTTTATATGACATAAATATTTTTAATAAGTTTAAAAATCCTCATACTATTTTTTTTCTTTTGTATTACAATGATGCCACAACAATGTAATATAGAAGAATGTAATAAATAATTTTAATATTCATCTTCATCAAACTTTGATGAAGATATTATGGTAGAAAGCAAAAATTGAAATAAAATTTATTAAATTGAATGGCACATTGATACAAGAACATCTATATACAAGCAATATAATAGAAAGTAATGAAAATTATATGATCAATATACACTACATTATAAGAGTAAATTAGAACAATGAATACTATAGATTCATTTGATAAATATAAAGAAATAGCCCATGACATTCAATTATACTTTTTGATAAGCATGGATAAAAAATCATTGAATTTATTTAAGATAGAGAGCAATACAAGATCTTCATTTAAAGCATCAAGCTTGGAATGCATCTAATATAATTTTAAATCTAAATATCTTGATATTTTTCTAGTTATTAAAAAAACATTCAATAATTTTTATATAATATTGCAGGTCCAAAGGGGGCGCAACTCATTTTTAATTGAGCTCATGTTTTTTTTTTCTTAACATTTATGCTTAGAATGTCTAGGGCCTTAATGGTGATACTTGTATTGCTGACTGCGTAAGACTGGTTAAATTGAATAATAATGAATTGTATTTTCTTCATGAAACTAAGCTTTTCTCACCTACCATCTCTGATCGCCTCTCTAGACATCTCTTTAAAATTTTCCATATTGAAAGTGATGTTCACAAGTTTCTCAGAACTAACCTTGGACGCATTTGGGTAAAATGAAACCCCTCCAAACTTAATTTCACAGCTATAAATATCCAACCTCAATATATTCATGGCCTAATTAGTATCTCTTCTTGGATTTTAATTGCATATCAAGTCCATAGCAAAAATTTTGGGGCTCCCCCACCACCCCCAACCCCTCCTCCCAGTCCTTTATAGGTTAGTTGATTCCAATAATTGTGTTCTTAATGCTGGCATACTTGATTTGCAAAACACAGATTACTTTTATAGTTGGTATAATAACCAATCTAATTCACCATTTAGATGTCTACTTGATCATGCTTTTTGCAATGCCATTTTGGATAAATTTGTTTCCTCTCTCTCTTTCTTGATGACTTTGAATCCTTCAAATTAAGATCACTCCTCGATCTAAGAGTCTTTGAAGGATGAAATACAATTTATGAATAGAAACTTTTGGAGCATGTGCCCAAATTTTCTCACCATTATTGAGTTTGCTTGGATTATTCTAGTGACAAGGTATATGTTAAGTATGGTCTTAAAATGATGGGAATGGAGATCACCCTTTTATTTTCATAAAATAATCTCTTATCTAAAAAAGCAACAAAGCTCAGTTTTACTTTCTTTTGAGAATTATCCTCTTAATGTTGAACTTCTTCTAAAGGCTTCTCAGATCTAATAACAACTCTCTAATACCATTTATTAAAGAGCTAAATGCCCTCGGTTGACTAAAAGTGAGGATGACATCAATTTAAAAAATAATAATAAAAAACATTTTACATAAAGGAAATTTTAGTTAATGGAAGTCATGTTCATGAGTAAAAAGACTTCTCTAGTGCTGTCATTATCTTATTTCTCTAACTTGCTTAATAGTTCTAATGGTAATCAGACAGATTATGTTGAGTTCTTTCTTGTTTCACATCAATGTTCTAATTTTGATTGTGTCTCTCTTACCCAATGCTTCATTGATGATTAAATTAAGTAGGTGTTTCTCTTTGTTGGTTACGATAAGGCTCATGGGCTAGACAAGTTTACTTCTAATCTTTTTCAAATATACTTAGATATCACCAACTTTGACTGCATTGCGGCTATAAAATATTCTTTTTTTTCCACTCCAAGACTTCATCAAGGGCTTAAATGTTCTCTCGTTACTCTTATTCTTGAAAAGACTCATACACGAACTTTCTAAGACTTCATGCCTATCTCACTTTCTAATATCTTTTACAAAGTTATTGTTATGCTTTAATTAGCTAGTAGACCAAAACTTTTGACGCTGTCTCTTTCATTCTTCTCGGACTTTTTTCACCAAGAGTGATGACATTGCTGATAATGTTATACTAGCTAACGAAATTTCTTTTGGGTTTAAAATTCCAAAAGTTCAAGGAAACATTTATGGTCCAAGATAGAATTGAAGAAAGCCCTTTGCAATGTAAATCATTCATTCCTTTCTTTATACCATAACGAAGAAACTTTGGATTTCTCCCTTTGTTTTTGTGATGGGTGAAATCTTGTATTGTTGATATTTGCTTCTCTATCCTTATCAATACTGAAAATTAAGGGCTTCTTCCCTTTTTCTTATAGGTTGTGTCAAGGGTGCACTTTATCTCCTGTCATTGTTATGGATGCTTTCTTTTGTCTTTGAGATAGCTTGGTTGCTTCTTCAAGTCCTAAAAATAGTAATATTTTCAATCTCATATATGTTGATGACCTCTATGTGCTCGACAAGGGTTGCATCAACATCATTAATTAGCTCTCATATGCTTTAAATCCCCACACATGGCATCCGATATAAGTGCTAACAATATTAAATCTGCTATATATTTTGGTAATTTTATGGACACTTCTACCTAATAACTTTTTTATAATGCTTGTAGATTTTTCAATACTCCTCTTCCTTGGGACTATTTAGGTGTGATTATAAAGCCAACCAAAGTGACTGTTATGGATTGTACTAATCTGCTTGATGGAATGCACACCCATCTGTTTTGCTGGAAACAAATGCTCTCATATGTTGTTGGGAAATTCAAATTGATTAATACCACCATATGGAATTATCTATTCTTCCGGTTTATCCATTACTCTCCCCAAATGCCCGAGAAAGAAAATCACTTGTCTATTCATAATGGGGTTAAGAGGAAGGTTCATACCATTGCTTGGAGATCTAAATCTTATGGTGGGTTAGGCTTATTTAGCATGGATAATATTAACCTTATGTGCAAACCAAAAAATTTTTGGAGATTAAATAACTTTAATTTCTTTATCTCCAAGTGGTATATTGACCATTAATGGTCTCTATAGTCAAAAACTAGATCCAATTTTTTTCTCGTTCTGAAGAGACCTACTAAAGTTATTGTTAAAATATGAGACCACATTTTTTTTTGTTAATCTTAACAGTAATTTCTCATTTTACTTTTATCCATAGGTTTATGTTATCTTCTCTTTATGAAATTTATGTATATTGTCTTTATGAAATTTCTCAATAAAAGTTAAAATTCATGGTACTATTAAAATAACAATGTTTTTGGGTGCTATGTATATAATTGCTCCGAGATTGAGATAAACAACATATTTTTATCTCAATGGCTTTTATTTCAAAACCTCCATCAAAGAGGCTAAATATTCATATCAGTCAAATTCCAGATTGCTCTTCCGCCCGATTATAAGCAGATTTGACAATATTATAAGGAAAATAACACATCACTGGGCTCATTGAAAGGCGATTTAACAATAATGCAATAAAATTGAATCATCTGCAAGAAAGGGGTAACTAAATATTTGTGTTAATAAAGACAAAAAAAGCATGGTAGAAAAATATTTCTAAGCGTAATAAAAGGATATTTAAGTACATACCATCCACTTTTTATGCATTCACATATCTAATACATAAATCATATATTTTACATTTATATCTCATATATTTTTTATTAAAAATATCATAATTTTAACTTTATAAAAACAAAATAGATCCTTTTTCATTCACAACTAAGGTAAGATATAAGAATTGAAGTTAAGATGCTAGATAATTAAATATATAAGAAATGAATGATGTTTATGCAACTCTTTCTGAAAAATAAAGAAATAATATATTTATTCAAATTTATTATTTTGGGACATAAAATTATTTTTTCTTGAACTA